TATATAACGTGTTACATGTCCAAATTTAACTAGTATTGATACCCATCTAGACTTAGCCTTTAAATGTAAATGGCATGCAGTCAGGGTCTCCTTAAACTTCTTGTGCCTCAAAAGTGAGGTGCACGTGAGAGATGATGTGAAACTGCTCTGTTTATTTGCCCTTAAGGAATGTTTTTATGTTGAAGAATCTGAAACCTTGGTTCATTTCTTAACTGACTTCCTTTCCTCCCTGTGGGATGGATAAAAAGCAAGAAATATTTTTTTCATTTGCACTGGTGACCAGGTCAGAACTGAAAGTAAATAAGAATATGCAGAAATACACAAGTCAGTCACATCCTAAAAGAGTACTCAAAGCATGTGGGGAGTCAAAGAGAGAGGACTGATGTCTAAAACATGTAACCTCAGGATTGTGTCTATAGTCAGAAGCCAAAGCAGAGTGGTGATTTTATCATAGACTATGGCCTGGCTGTGTCATGGGTCACATGGTTCAGCCTGTGAACAGGAAGGTGACAGCTGGTGAACTTTTGCCTCAGTTGTGCCATCCATCAGAGAATAAATGGACCAAATCAACGTTTGCAGCTGTATACGGAGGTGACTGGCTGAGGGCCTCTCACACTGCAGCCTTTGTGTCCTGGGCATGATCTAACATCACGATGGGATGGATGCACTCGGCCTCGGCCGTGTGGCAAACTACTAACCCATTATCACAACAGAACACAGGATCATTTATCTTCTCATTCAGAGTGTCACCTGCTCGTCATTTACCAGTCAATAACCATTAATTATGCTTGGTGGAAATGCAAACGAAGCCCTTTCTCTCCGTGAAAACCAGTAAACTATTGAGTAATAAGAAATAAGTATGGAGTTGTATATTCTTTCCCTTCCCATTCCCAGACTGGAGCCTGGTGCAATATGAACTTGAGAGGAAATGCCTAGAAATTGATAGGTCAAAGGCCACAGATAGTCTAATGGAAAAGAGCAGACTCCTGGCCCTCGCTCTCATGAAAGTGAGAAGCTCCTCCATCCCAGATTGCTGTCAGGGAACAAAACAAGCACCAGAGAACTTGTGCCCAGTGCTTACAAGGAATCCACCATTAACCAGTAATCATGTGGTTCTTACCAGCTCTTGCTTTTTTTCACATGACAAATAATACGATTTTTTTAGACTATTCTAGTACAACAAAGTGTTTAAAAAGCAATAAAATAAGCTGAGAGGTCCTAAAAGACCTATTTGAAATGTTTTTAGAATGGAAATTTGAGTAAAATGCATTTAAATGTATTTACTCTGTTAATCTAATCCGTCGAAAAAAATGTTCATGTAGCAGTTATAGCCAGAAGCATAATTTAATTTCTTCTGGACATTTAAAATATTTGATAAAAGCCAAAATGTGTGTGTGTGTGTGTGTGTGTGTGCGCTTGCGTGTGTGCACAACACACACACTTGAATGGAATGGTAGGGTTAGCTTAGGTGGGGAAGGATGGTGTCATGATGGTCAAAGGGCAGGTTCAATCCCAGAGAAGGCCAATCATGCTGTTGCCATTGGTCACAAGGGAAACCAAGCAAGATGATATGGATTCACTCCAGTTACGAGATTTGGGACTGTTACACTGAGTCTAAAAGGGCAGGTCAAAGTGAGCAGACAGGGAGGGGAGAGAGAACTGCAGGCTGAGGGGACTTCATATTCAAAGGCAGACATATCACAGAGCAGGGCATGCCCCTCCCAGGCCTCTGGTAGTACACATGTGCCTTTGTGCATTACCAAAAGGCATCTTTTTGAGAAGCTTTATTACAAATGGTGCACCTTCCTTCAACTGACGCATCCCTGAGATGGGCACATGGCCTGGCCTCTGAGCTGGGTTTCAGACCCTGTGCATCCTCTTAGCCAGGGCGTTTAGCAGTGTGTTGCAGCTCTGGCTTCATAGAGCTGCGGAGCTACTGTATCTTCCCTCTTCTGCATAGGACTGTCCCAATAAAGAAAACACCTTGTATTTTGTGTCTTTTTAAAATTGATCAAGCTTTTTCATTATTATTAATATAGACTCAATTCTCGGTGTTTATGGTAGTTACGTTATATAAAGTTGTAGGAAACACTGAATTAGCGAATACTAAACAATTGCTTCTAGGCGAGATACAGGGTTATAAGGTTTCTGTGATCCTCTGGTCACATTCAAGCAATCAATACACAGCCTTGTTTTTGTGTGTTTCTTTTTAAAGACTCCTTGTTTAATATATATTGTTGATTCATTAACATTGAACTATACCTACTCACTTATCGACTATCTCCTTATCTGACATTTCACATTTATGGCAATAATAAAAAATCTACTATCTGACTACTTTACATGTTAACAATGTATGTCTGGCAGTAAGGAATGCCAAGGTGTAAGAGTAGCACTGGCTGTGATGGTTAAGGTTATGTGTCAACTTGGGTGGGCCGTGATTCTCAGTGGTGTGGCAGTTATGTAATGAAGTAATTTGGAAGTTACATAATGATTAGTTCGGCAGTTATGTAATGATGTGATTTGGCAGATATGTAATCCATTTTGTGATCTGATGTGGTCATCTTCCATTTTCACATAATGCCAACTTTTGCACAGCAACCTAGTCTTTGGAACCTAACCATGTTGATAAGTGAGGAGTGGGTGTATATTCATCAACATTCAATAGTACTATAACTCATGCCTGGACAAAGCTTATCTAACACATATTTTCTCCATAAGGCACATCAGAGATTTCTGGCATTTAGGAACACTAGACCGCACTTCAGCACTGCAGTTGGAGGCCATTTTAAACAGTGAAATTGCCAACAAAAAGCACAAAATTGTGAAAAATGTGGCATTAAGTAGATCACAAAAAGGGCACTGTAGTATGAGAGCTGAAACAAGAAGACAGAGTACCTCCTTGTTCAGTCTTTGCTGAGAATGTGCACATTGAGCAACTCTAATTTTTCACCTCTCTGTGCATGTCCACAAATGACCATCAGAGTGCCAGGAGTGCTGATTTTTGTGTTACAAATAAATTTTAGCAAGTAGGCAAATTTGCAAATATGGAATTCATGAATAATGAGGATCGACTACAATTAGTATAAAAATTTAAAGTTCTGTGGCTACGTTTATCAACCATGATCTCTTAATACAAAATGATTCTTCTGGTATTTCATTAATATGAACAAAACTGTCACCTGGCCAAAACTATTTCATCAGTCACTTAACTGAAATTATTGTCATTGTCCCACCCAGCCTGCCACATTTCTGAGGCATGTAAAATCTCCTGACATCTTATCTTCCATGGACTAAAAATGCTATTTAAAACAATCTTGTAATAGACCAAATATACAAAAATAATGTCACAAGAAATGATTTCAAATAAAAGGGAAATACTTTATTATTATTATTAAAAGCTGCCACAAATTCAAATAAATAAAGAGAAATTAAACTTTTTCAGGGGACAATGGTGGTTCGGTGGTAGAATTCTCACCTTCAATACAGGAGACATGGGTTCTATTTCTGGCCCGTGTACCTCATGCACAGCCACTACCTATCTATCTGTGGAGGCTTGCATGTTGCTATGATACTGAACAAGTTTCATCAGTGTTTCTAGACTAAGACAGACTAGGAAGAAAGACCTGGTGATCTACTTCCAAAAATCAGCCAATGACAGACAACTCTATGAATCACAAAGGTCTGATCCACAACTGTCACGGGGATGGAGCAGCAGGGCTGGGCAACATTTCCTTCCCTTGTGCGTGAGATCGCCATGAGTTGGGGGCTGACTCCATGACAGCTAACAACAACAAAACTTTTTCAATACACATAATACTGGGGACTGTAGTATAAGGAAATCCCTATTATTTTTAGCTATTCTATTTTGAAAAGTGGGTAAGAGTGATAAAAAATGATTGTGTGCTTGGATCTTTTCTTAAAGAGACATATTTCTCTCAGATACCAGCTACGCTAAAATTTTTTTTAAATCTGCATATCCTATCTATGTTAAAAAGTCTTTACACTATAGAAACTATAGGCCTGTAAGCTATTGGAAAAAGCTCTTCTAACCGAGTGGAACCTGGCTGTGACACTTGCCACTACTTTGTACCTTAAACTCTGCAGCTGTATTTGTGCCCAGCTAGAATTTTCATCTCACTTGAGAAAGTGCATCTGTGCGAAACATCCATTTTGATCAGGGAGTGGAAGTTGAGTCCCTGGACTTGAAATGCTGCCCATGTGAAATACTTAACTCTGGTGAAGACATTCTCATTGCTCTCAGACAGCTTTTTAAAAGTAGTAGCACTATTTGTTATATGACTTTTTTCCAGTAATGATTCTTACTTACTTTGCTTTTTGATGTCACTGGGTTGGTAAATTGCCAACTTTAATGTTAAGAAATTAGGTTCTGCTTTTGAGGACAAAAATCTGTCTTGAAATGATTTTTCCTTGCCTTCCGTCTATAATACGAAGGATAATTAGACACACACTAATTTTTTCTTAAATATAGCATAAAAAGTTATTCCCCACAGACGCTCTTAAACATAATGTTTCTCTCTACTGAAGTCTCCATTAGAAGTTAAAAATAAAGATTCCTGAGGGCACTGAGTTAGTGGAGGTACAGTAAGTGGGAAAAGGATAGTGACAATGATTGCACAGCATGAAGATTGTAATCAATGTCACATTAAAAATGATTGAATTGGCAAATGTATTGTTAGGTATATTTTTACCACAATAAATAAATAATCGATCAATCCTAAGACATGTTCTCCAGGCCTACTGAGTGAGAACCTCTATGGCTGTGACCCAGGAATCTATACTAAGAAGCTTCCCAAAGTATTTTGATGCATATTAAAGTTTGAGAACCATTGCTGTAGAACTTAGGATATTGTATTAAATTCATGCTCATTGTCTAGCTCTGTATGTTCATATCCAATTTTGTGAATTTGACAACATTCTGTTTCCTAAGTGGCCACTTAATACAACTTCATCTTGCTTTCTCCACCCCCTCCCCCCAGGCTATGTGGCTGATGTTGCAGAACGATGAGCCAGAGGACTTTGTCATAGCCACTGGGGAAGTCCATAGTGTCCGGGAATTTGTAGAAAAATCATTTCTGCGCATTGGAAAAACCATTGTGTAAGTATCGTCAAGCGCTGATTTATGATCATTCATCAGATATGTGCAGGCTGGTGTGTATATGTACTTGCTATCCTGCCTCAGTTTTCTTTTTTCTTTTTCCTCTTAACTCTGTTATAAAGAAATGTAAGCAGTTTCAATAGGGATTAGGGACTTTGTTCTTCACTATATCCAACCTCAATTATATGTTACGTGTTTCTCACCATCTAAACCCAGTCTTTTACTGTGGCTAATTTTCTTCTTACCAGTGAAATTTTGAGATCAATGTGAAAACATTACACAATCTTTTTTAATACTTACACTTTATTTATTTATTTATTACTTTTTTTTTTTTATTGTACTTCAGGTGAAGGCTTACAGAACAAATAGTTTCTCATGAAACAGTACTACACATATTGTTTTATGACATTGGTTAACAACCTCACAACATGTCAACCCTCTAACTTCTCAACCTTTTTTTTTGGTGAAAATACACATAGCCACAGATACACCATTTCAAAAATTTCTACATGCACAGTTCAGTGTCATTGACTACACTCTTCCAATTGTGCTGCTATTCTCACTTAAGATGAAGGCTTACAAAACAAAATAGTTTTTCATTTAACAGTTACTACACATGTTGCCCTATGACAATGGTTAACAATCTCACAACACATCAGCACTATCCTTACTCAACCTTGGGTTCCCTATCACCAGCTTCCTTGTCCCCTTCTGCCTTCTGGCCCTTGTCACTGGACTACTGTACCTCATTAGTCCCATTTCGTTTTACAGGGCAGTCCACTCCCAGGCTAAATGGTGAACCTCGGAGATAACTTCACCACTGAGCTAAAAGGGTGTCTGGGGGCCATACTCTCGGGGTTTCTCCAGTCTCCTTAAAGCCAGTAGATCTGGTCTCTTTTTTGTGAGTTAGAATTATGTTCCACATCCTTCTCCAGCTCTGTCCAGAACCCTCTGTTGTAATCCTGGTCAGAGCAGTAAGTGGTGGTAGCTGGGCACCGTCTAGCTGTACTGGACTCAGTCCGGTGGAAGCCTTGGTAGCTGTTGACCATTAGTCCTTTGGACTAATCTTTTCCTTGTATCGTATTCGCTTCATTCTCCCTTGCTCCCGAAGGGATGAGACCAATGGAGTATCTTAGATGGCCGCTCACAGGCTTTTAAGACCCCAGATACTACTCACCACTAGAATGTAGAACATTGTCTTTATAAACTGTGTTATGCCAATTGAGCTAGATGTTCCCTGAGACCATGGTCCCCACAGCCCTCCGCCCAGCAATTCAGTCCCTCAGGGAGTTTGGGTGTGTCCATGGGGCTTCCACGACCTTTACTTGTACAAGTTGTACGAGTTTCCCCTGTATTGTATACTGTCTCACTCTCCACCCAAGATACCACTTATCTATTGCCTATTTAGTATTTCCCCCCTACCCCTCCCATCCCTAGTAACCAACAAAGAGTGTTATTTTTGTGTGTGAACTTTTTCATGGGATTTTACAATAGAGGTCTCATACAATATTTGTCCTTTTGTGATTGACTTATTTCACTCAGCATAATGTCCTCCAGTTTCATCCATGTTATGAGAT